GATGTTAGTGAAGCTGTGGTAAGTTTATCTTATTGCATTTTTTAATTTTATCTTTATCATTCTTATATTTTTTTTCATCTAATACTTTCAGCCACAACCAGAACATGGGGTATACACAGTATTTGTGAATCTAGGTAACACTAAAATCGAACTTTTACATCCATATGGTGATAAATCGCCAATACAAAATTTTTTAGATAGAAATAAAAATGGGGGAATTCACCATGTTTGTATTGAGGTTTGTATCTTTATTCTAAATTGATCTGGTAAATTGTATTTTTAATTTAATTGTATTTTAATTATCTTATGTAAGGTTGATGACGTTGCAGCAGCCATAAAAGATTTAACATCAAAAGGCATTAGACCTATAGATCCTGAACCGAAAATTGGTGCACATGGCAATCCAGTTGTTTTCTTGCATCCAAAAGATTGCTTTGGAGTTTTGATTGAATTAGAAGAAATTAAAAAATCTTAGTTCAAAATTTATTTTGAATTGATTTTAAAATATATAATTTCATTGATTATAAAAAAATTAATGCTGTCAAATTAAAACCTGAAATTGAATTTATAAATTCACTATAAACAGTTACTGATTTTAATTTAAATTTTAATTCTGTGAATAGAGTAATTAAATTTTAAATACATTGTATGTAATATCAAGAACTTATACATGTTATATGGCATGCTAAAATTACTTTCAGCTCCCGTAATTATTTTTGGTTTTCACAATGATTTCAGCTGCATAAAATTTATTATAGCTATAGTCACACCACTCAGGACCGTATGAGCAAACCCAGCATTACCACAAATAAAACTTGCCTTTCGTCAATTAGAATCTAACACAATTATATTGCTCTAATTATAAATTGTGATTTGTCACATTTCTTATTTTAATTACGTATTGTATTTTATATTTTTATTTTCTACTATACTTACAACAAATAAAAGAAATAGTAAGAAACAAAAGTTAAACCTCTTATATAAAATGCAGATAAATAATTATTCATTTTTATGTTATGTAGAATTTAAGAACGTAGGTTTAACGCC